ACAAGTTTCCTCAAGTGGCTAAGACCCGCTGGGAGCTGCTTTGCCACTATCATATTTGCATGCATACCGTCGGGGCAGTAGATCATCGGGGCAAGAGGAAGAGGAGCCAAGGGATCAACCACAAGAATTAGGCCGATTATTTGTTCCAGAACACTGACGATAAGACAAGGCCTATTCTGCCCCTGGGTGTTTGTGATGAGACGATAGTGACCAAGAGAATTTTTGACTGTAAGTCGATTTTGGACACCCTCAAATCTGATAAAGGAGGGTTCAAGGCAGGAACAACTTTCCAATCTTTCCACCACCAAGCTAAAGTTCCAATTTCCAACAAGGCCCTGCTCGTCGGGTATTTGATGTTATGGTTGAAGAGATGTGTGATTCTCACACACTCTTTTAAGGCGATCCCGGTCGAGGTTGTCTACCCAGCGGTTCGTTTGGCTCACGGACGATCTTACGCGCTACTCCCCGCTATGGTAGCGTGCCTTCAAGGCGGGTTGCGCACATTGACAGCCTAATTCTGCAAGGTAGTATATGTTCAGGAGAAAGAAGGCGAAGAAGTTGCCAAAACTCCTAACCCGCGCGTCAGTCTCCCCTACACTTATCTGATGGCATGGTACGTGCTGCATTGTCCTTGATGAGCGCACCGACGACGCGCCAGGAAGGGCAGATGATTCCCTTCCTCTAATGGCTAGAGAAGTGCTCATGGAAGTATAATTACATAGCGGAGATGATGAAGGCCTCTCCTTCAACATCTACGAGTTCTTTCAGTGCTTCCCTTATTTTACGGATGGAGGATATGACGTCGCCTTTGAGGATGTGCCAACGGAAGATCATTACAGCGCACTATCTTGGGCAGCTTCCATTGGCTTCGTCAAACATCCGACCGGGCTCATACTCTTCCGAATGGCGTCGATCTCCACATGAAGCCGCTAATTCCCGTGCCGCTTCGCTCGCCAATTCGGGTAAGACCAACTTTATGTAGGGAACCCGAATCCTCAATTAAGCTTTGAAGGGGGCTTAATTGACGGAGCCCGAGGATGGTATTAGCATCTAGCGGGATGCACCTGTAATGACCATGAATTTTTGATACTAGTTAAAATAATTTTTCTTGTATTTTAAAATATTCAATTATTATTTCCAAAAGAGTATTTATATTTTCTCAATTTTCTAGAATATTCTATGATTTAAAAATCCAGATTATATTTATTTTAATGGTTTTGCTATTATAAATTAAATTGTTACAGTAAAAACTTTTAAATTAATATTTGAATATTAATTATTATTATTATTGTTATTGTTATTGATTATCTTATATTGATTTTTTTAGCCTATTCTATTCCCTCATATTTTTCCTGTATTTTCTGTATTTTTTCTTATTTTTATGTAACTTTTTTAAAACCCTAACCCTAAATATATATATATATAATATATATATATATAATTATATATATATATATATATATAGATATATATATAATATATATATATTTTTTTTTTTCTCTCGCTTTTCACGTGAAGCCGCCACACTCTTTGTTCTCTCTCTCTCCCTACGCTTCTCTCTTCTCTCTCGTTCTCATCGAGTTCCACCTGACCGAAAAAGCACACCCGTCTCCTCTCAAACTCAGCCCCGCACGCACACCACGTCCAGCCTGCTACTCACCCTCACTGAATCACGCGCCTCCTCTCCTCCACCTTCGGCCACCAACAGCATCCCCTCACACCCTACTCCGAACAGCCACCCCTCGGCCCAGGATCTCCGCGCCGACAGTCCTCCAACTCTGGTCAGCAACCGTCCTCCCCACCTCCAGATCCGACGCCTGCTCCCTCGGATCCGTCGACAGCCACCCCCAAATAGCCCCTTTTTCCTCTCTCCTCGTCCCCTTCACTACAACCAACCGCCTCGCCATCAGCCTCGTTATCCGCCGTTCAGATCCGACTAGATTCGTCCACCTCAGCACCATCAGCAGTGATGTCGGCTCGGTCTTCCTCAGCAGCGACGTCATTGCCCTCTTCATCAGCGTTGCCCCTCGATCCAGATCCGCTCCTTCAGATCTGCTACAACCGTCGCCGTCTGCAGCAGCGAACCGTGCCATCTGATTTGTCGCTGTTATCTCCTCTCGTCGACGCTCGCCGTCGTCTCCGTCGCCACCTCACCCGCAGACTCGCACGTCAACGTCGATACGTTCGACAGAAACTTGCAGGCAAGATCTCACCTCTTTCAAGTTTATTTTCATTGTGATACGCCACTAAATGATATTATGCAGGAGAGTTTATGATTTCTGCTGAATTAAGTTTTAGATTTCGGATGATATATTGTAGTTGTCCTTATCACACACAGTATAATAGTTCCACACATTTCACAAGTATTATCAGTTAGTATTTTTATCACACGCCACATATACAATCATGATTAAAAGTCTTAAAAAATATTAGATATGATTACTGTTACTATTCACATATACAGTTATTGATCACAATTATCGTTCATGATTTATGATTCTTAATTATATGGTATGTCATAATATTATTGTACATGATCAGTTGCTCTTATTTTCTTATTGTGATTGAGAACCATTAGTAGTTCATGACTTAGTGGCTTTGTGCGTCATGAACAAGACTTAGTGACATGTATGTGTGCGTTGACTGAGTTTAGGAGGTGGATCAGAGATCTAATTCAGGTTATGATTGTTGACTTACATAAGTGAGAAGAGTTGGGATGGAGAAGTATTGGTTCATGTGATCGGATATGGTTGTTGATAAATCTTTCAGGCTTGCACCAGTGGTTGGTGTCGCCACTGAGGTTGGTTTGTAGGACCAAAGTGAAGTGTGTACATCACTTTGGTCAGTAGGAATTTATTTCGTCACCCGAGTTTTGCTTGAGTTCGGACCAGGTAGAAAACGGTTTGCGTGTAGTCCTCTGGTCGCATGTGTATTGACATTTAATAGGGTTGATTGTGCATGAAGACGACTTCCGTCAAAATAATTAATAAACGTGTCATCATAGCATGGCTATACCCTCGACATCGATATCTCAATGTGGAGTTTCTCTTGATTATTACTATTATTATAATAGCATTAACTAGACGATGCACCCATCTTGATTGGACATGTTTTGGGTCACGGTTATTTTTTATAAATTTTACGAAAGTCGTTCCACGGTAACTCTATGGTTAGTGAATAATATTTTATGCACAACCACTTAAAATAAATAGATAAATGTAGGGTTTATAAAGGGGAATTTAACGGAGAATATAACGTGTATATAAGCGGGCTCATGCGCATTCTTGATATCTAGAGTTATATTTAAGGGCCAAAGGCTAACCCTGACTTGAAGCTGTGTTCCCGAGATGGTTTACGGGAACCCGATTTATATACATGATACTATTACCCTCTAATTCAAATAACATGCAAAATAATAATAATAATAATAATATGCTTGTATGCCTTGTGATAAACTTATTCTTAATATTTACTAGTAGCATTTCTTTTAGTCACCTTTAATTTAGATTTCATCTCTTTTTTTGTACATGCCACATACACTTGCAAGCGCATAATTTCTTTATTTTACATGCTTGTTGGGAGTTTTCTGACTCTCCTAGGGTTTGTGCGGCCCCAGACTCAGGAACTGTTCTTTCTTCGTAGGACCGATAATATTTTGAGGAGCAGGCTAAGTGGCAGTGATCACCATTTATTCTATCAGTTCTCCAATTCAGTTGGTTTAGACTTTTTCTTGGGTCACATGTGACATTTTTTAGACTATGATATAATTTTTTGGATAGTTGTGAAACTCGTATTTGGACTCCGTCCTTTTGGAGATTTTTTATCTATACATTTCTTTTATTATCTTAATTACATGCTCTATGATGTAGTTTTGACTTTATATCGATATACAGGATGATCTAGAGGCGTGAATGTGGCCGAATGGTTGTATTGTCGGCCGACTCACATTCCAAGTTATTACACTTTGGAACCGGGGCGTGACACAGTTGGTAATTTTGGTTTAAGTTGTTCGTTGTGGAAGACATGCAAGTAGAAGACTAGAAGATGAAGACAACTACGATGAGAAAGACAACACAGAAGATTTCAGCCTTTTTAAGTCATGTCACAAATTGAAGTAAGTACATCTTGTTTGTAACAAGTTAGACATGCATGTATATATGTTCCAGCTTGAAGGGGAGTGTTAATCAATATATTATGAAGATATATGATGTTATAGTTATATTAGGAATAATATATTAAGAATATATGGTTAAGAGATATTAAGGATGAGATTGAGAGAACAAAGGAATATGCTAAAAATATGTTTAGCATATTCCTAATAATATGTAACATGTGTTTACTTGCTCTTAGTATAAATATAAGAGTTCAACAGAGCTCTAGATAGAGTCTGTGGCTTCCCTTAGAAGTAATTTCAACAAATGCCAAATAAATGTGAATTTGACCAGTGAGTAATACAATTTAATGATAAAATGCTAGTGATAAGAATAAAGAAACAGATGTGATATCTAAATCATCAGTTCATTTCCAGTACTTTTTGACACTGGATTGTTTCCTTATATTGTGGGAATCTATTATCTGATTAGCAAAAAAACCAAAAGTTTTTGACAAATTCAAGTAGGAATCACTATGGAGCATCTTGCGCTAATAAACTTGAATATTCTTATAACTTGGATTTTGACCAACCAAATACACTGTAGAATTGCATTACTAAGTAAAGAAATTAAAGAAAATTGTTCAATACAACCAAGCTTTGATGCAATCTACAAATGTTTCCATAAGTTTAAACCACATTGACTTCTTAAGAGTTTAACAAGACATACAGAATGATCTCGTGTCACTCAGAAGTCAAAGTAAACATAAGTAGTGGCTCATCGAGGCTTAAACATGTACATAATAATTGTGAATAAAGAACATAGCCATGTAATATACAACTACAAGAGAACAAGCCATACTGCAAAATCTTTGGCAAGTATAAAAAATGACGAAACATGGATCCTTACCTCCTTAAAGCGGACAATATTAGGATGCCTCAAAGACTTATGATTAATGATTTCTCTTTGCACTTTCTCATCAATCTGTGCACAGTGATCAACAAAGTTCAAAATGTAAGATGTAAAACATGAACCCACATGTACTTAACAGTCAATAACATAACATCTCCAGTAATATTATCACGATAACATTGTTAGAATATGATGTTCTATTCAACGTAAATCAGAAGGCTCAATAGAGATCTTGTCATTGAAATACGAATAATGGAGATCTTACCTTAGAAATATTAACAAATAAACTAATAATCTAATGAAATAAGAACATGAAGTAGTAAACAGATTCTAAAGCACCGAAATTTATCTACAAACTCACTTTGGACAATCGTAATCTAATTAAAACATTTTGAAAGATGGACTCTGGCTGTTAGTAAAACACAAAGCAATTATTGGAAGTAATGCGTGCACATAATGAAATGTCATCATCGAACAGAATTACGTTTTAAAGACAATTGGTAAAATGACAAACAAAAGATATGTATAACCGATGAAATCCATTTATTCAGAAACCAGCAACAATAACAAAAACTATAAAGCCTGTACAAGATTTTGGGAGCTGTCTACACGGAGAAGTACATATTGGGCCTTGCAGCTCTTACCCTAATTCCTTCCCCAATATTGAATACAACTCTCTCATATGTTTTTGGAAGATGTTAAAGGTCTATTTAAGCCAAAATAACAAACTAATCCTATTCTTACCAACGAGGACTAATGCAGTTCTCTTTATAAAGGACTTTCTAGTTGCCCCAAAGTTCAGAAAAATAAAACATGTTGATTGTGTCATTGCCTTCTGAAGCGTCCATTTCGATTTCAGGGGTTACTTAATCACATGATACTTTAGGAAGCACTTCCCTACCATCTTTTCCAACCATAATCATAATTACGGATCACTGTTCCGAACTCCGAAATTGTCACTTGGGGATATCCTAACCCTCAATTTGGATTCCGTTGTGAAGTCTTGCTAGACCATTGGTGCCTACCATGGTTCTCCGTAATTACGGAAAATGCTACTGTTCTTATACACAAATGATTCACAACTGTGTCAGTTCTTCTACTTTGTCCTGAAATCGACAACGAGATAAGAGCGGGTACACCTTATCATCCTAATAGCAGTACCAATTCATTAGTACAAAAATTATAGTAGAATTACCACTGTCTCGTTATGAAAAAAAATAAATGCATAATCAACCAACAAGATAACATTGTATGTCTTCTTCCCACTTCAGATATATTTGACCTTCTATGAACAAGATAAATAATGCATGCCATCTTCCCTCTTTGAATATATTCTTCAAATCTATCTAACAACAACTATAAACCTCAAAAAGAACAATCCAATGGGCAAACATGTGAACAAACTCCATCCTAAACCCAAAAGGGGAAAAAAAACCATCAAATAAAATGATAATAAATGCATAAATAACAACAAACAAGATGAGATTGTATACCTTCTTCCCTCTTTGAATATATTTGACAGCAAGAAGCTCCTTGGTTTTCTTGTCCCTCACCAACCTAGCCACCCCAAAATTGCCAGAACCCAACTCCTTCAACGCCTCATACTTCTCCTCCATCTCTCTCTTCTCTCTCTCTCTCTCTCTCTCTAAGTCAAACAATCTCACAAGCACAATGTCACTCTTTGAGCTTTATTATTGTAGAAAAAGCCCAAGTTGGTGTTTTTTTTCACTCTTTGAGCTTTATTATTGTAGAAAAAGCCCAAGTTGGTGTTTTTTTAAGGAAAAAAATAGATGGGCACTCTTATAGAGCAGAATCTAAGGTTGGTTTGTGACGTAGGGAAGGGGAGAGCATTGGACCGTGAAAGGGACGCGCGTGATGACGACAGGGGTTTGGATTATTAGGCGCTGTTTGGTTGGTTTACGAAAACCAAAGGATAAAAAAAAAAGGAAATAGACACCGGAGGCCATTGCATCTCCAACGCAGCGGCATTTTGCCGCTGCGTTGAACTATTTCCCCTCCAACCGTGCCGCATTTTTTGCGGCACTTTGGAGAGGATGAACAGTGCGACGCTATATTTGGCGTCGCACTGTTCATCCGCTCTATTACTGTTCATTACTTTAAATTTTTTTAAGTGTTTATTTTTAAATTTTTAATTAATATAAAAGTAGATAAAAGAGAATATACCAAGAATATTCTAAGAATATTCTTTTTTGGTGCAAAAAATAGTGCAATGGGTTGGAGATGTATTACTGTTTGATGGGACTTTTGCACCATTTTAGTGCAAAATTTGCACCATTTTGATGCAATGGGTTGGAGATGGTTACATCCTTAAAAATCAGCGTGACAACTCATTTCATCTCATCTTCTTTCTTACTTTTAAGAATGAACAAAACACAAAAAATAGGTCACATCATCTGTCTCATCTTTAAAAATGAGTCGCATCATCCAATAATATGGTGACAACTCATCTCATTAAAATTTGAATTCCATAAATTTCCTAAAAAATCATGAAATGGGTTTCCCAAAATATGAGTCACACCATTCAAGAATATAATGAAAATTCATCTCATCTCATCTTTTTTCTTAGTTTAATAATGAACCAAACACAATAAAAGAACCTATTATAGAAAATATATTTATTATAATTGATTTCTTTTTTTTAGCCAACCAAACAACCTCAAAACAATTCATGAAATTTGTTTCTTAAAAAATTACCCACATCATCCAATAATATGGTAAACAACTCATCTCATCTCATCTCCTTTCTTACTTTTAAGAAGTGAACCAAACACAAGAAACGAACCTATTATAGGAAATATGTTTCATTTTATTTGATTTTCTTTTTTTAGCCAACTAAATAGCCCCTTAAAAGCAATGGGAAAATGTGTCTATGCCCCAAAAGCAGAAACTTCATGTGACGAGGCCCCTCATAGTTTCCCCCATGTGGATCAGCCCCTTGAAGTGTGACACTTTGTACTACAGCCCCTTTTTAGCAATTATTACATGCCACCACCATGCTAGTTCTAGTCCGCACCATGCTAGTTCTAGCCCGCACTATGTTAGTTCTTGCAAGTTGGGGCAAGTTAGAACTAACAATACTCAAAGCGATATAACGAGAGGTAGAAAATGAGCCCAAGTGAAAGGAAGATACCGTGTGATAGACAATATAAAGAGCTACACACCAGCGAAGACGGTGATGAAAACGGAGACCGGAGGTGGCCGAAAAACGCGCGCGAAGTCGGCACGGCGCTGCTGTTTTCTGCTCGCTGCTGCCGTCGAGCGATGTTTCGAACGTTACCGAGAGAGATAGACAATGAGTTAGAGTGTGATACAAATTGGAGGTGATAGGCAACATGTAGGACTACTCACCAAAGAAGAAATCAGCGGAAACAGATATTAGAGGTGATCAAAAAGTGCGTGCAAAGTCGGCACAAAACTGTAGTTTTTTACAGTGTAATTTCTCGCCGTTCGGGTTTGTTCTTCGCTGTTCGGAGCTTTTCAACACTGTCTGGGCTTGCCGGAGGTGGGAGGAGGTTGTCGGGGTCATCGGGGTGTCTCGGTGGGTTCCACCTGAGGTGAGAGGAGCTTTTCTCGGTTCCCAAGAACCTAGAACTAAGATGAATTAGAGCTAGAACTAGCTAGAAATAATATAGTGCGGGCTAGAACTAGCATGGTGCGGACTAGAACTAAGAAGGTGCGGGTTAGAACTAAGTTGAGGGCCCAAGAGCCTAGAACTAAGATAAATTAGAGATAGAACTAGCTAGAACTAACATAGTGTGGGCTAGAACTAAGAAGGTGCGGGTTAGAACTAAGAAGGTGCGGGTTAGAATTAACAAGTACGCAAGCAAAACATGCGGGCTTGGTTTAGAACTAGCAAGGTGTGGGCTAGAACTGGCTATATACAAGCTAGAAGTAGGATAATAGAAGCTAGAACTAACGTAGAAGCATGAATTAACACGTGCGCAAGCAAAAAATGAGGGCTGGGTTTAGAACTAGCAAGATGTGGGTTAGAACTGACTGTATACAAGCTAGAACTAGGGCAATAGAAGCTAAAACTAACGTAGAAGCAAGAATTAACAAGTGTGCATGTAAAAAACGTGGGCTGTGTTTAGAACTAGGAAGGTGTGGGCTAGAACTGACTGTATACAAGTTAGAACTAGGGTAATAGAAGCTAGAACTAATGTAGAAGCAAGAATTAACAAGTGGCCATGTAAAAAACGAGGACTGGGTTTAGAACTAGCAAGGTGTAGGCTAGAAATGGTTGTATACAAGCTAGAACTAGGGTGATAAAAGCTAGAACTTCCTAGAAGCATGAATTAACAAGTACGCAAGCAAAAAACGCGGGCTGGATTTAGAACTAGCAAGGTGTGGGCTAGAACTGGCTGTATACAAGTTAGAACTGGCTGTATACAAGCTAGAACTAGGGTAATAGAAGCTAGAACTAACCTAGAAGCATGAATTAACAAGTGCGCAAGCAAAAACACGGGCTGGCTTTAGAACTAGCAATGTGTGGGCTAGAACTGACTGTATACAAGCTAGAACTAGGATAATAGAAGCTAGAACTAATGTAGAAGCAAGAATTAACAAGTGTGCGGCATATAAAAAACACGGGCTGGGTTTAGAACTAGCAATGTGTAGACTAGAATTGGCTTTATACAAGCTAGAACTAGGATAATAGAAGCTAGAACTAACGTAAAAATAAGAATTAACAAGTGTTCATGCAAAAAACATGGGTTGGGTTTAGAACTAGCAAGGTGTGGGCTAGAACTGGCTTTATACAAGCTAAAACTAGGGTAATAGAAGCTAGAACTAACGTAGAATCAAGAATTAACAAGTGTGCATGTAAAAAATGAGGGCTGGGTTTAGAACTAGCAAGGTGTGGGCTAGAACTGGCTGTATACAAGCTAGAACTAGGGTAATAGAAGATAGAACTAACGTAGAAGCAAGAATTAACAAGTGCGCAAGTAAAAAAACACGGGTTAGCTTTAGAACTAGCAAGGTGTGGGCTAGAACTGACTGTATACAAGCTAGAACTAAGGTAATAAAAGCTAAAACTAACGTAGAAGCATGAATTAACAAGTGCGCAAGCAAAAAACGAGGGCTGTGTTTAGAACTAGCAAGATGTGGGCTAGAACTGGCTGTGTACAAGCTAGAACTAGGGTAGTAGAAGCATGAATTAACAAGTGCGCAAGCAAAAAACACGGCCTGGGTTTAGAACTAGCAAGATGTTGGCTAGAATTGACTGTATACAAGCTAGAACTAGGGTAATAGAAGCTAGAACTAACGTAGAAGAATGAATTAACAAGTGCGCAAGCAAAAAACGCGGGCTGGATTTAGAACTAGCAAGATGTGGGCTAGAACTGCCTGTATACAAGCTAGAACTAGGGTAATAGAAACTAGAACTAACGTAGAAGCATGAATTAACAAGTGCGCAAGCAAAAAACACGGGTTGGATTTAGAACTAGCAAGGTGTAGGCTAGAACTGGTTGTATACAAGCTAAAACTAGGGTAATAGAAACTAGAACTAACGTAGAAGCAAGAATTAACAAGTGTGCATGTAAAAAACACGGGCTGAGTTTAGAACTAGCAAGGTGTGGGCTAGAACTGACTTTATACAAGCTAGAACTAGGATAATAGAAGCTAGAACTAATGTAGAATCAAGAATTAACAATTGTGCATGTAAAAACGAGGGCTGAGTTTAGAACTAGCAATGTATGGGCTAGAACTGGCTGTATACAAGCTAGAACTAGGGTAATAGAAGCTAGAACTAACCTAGAAGCATGAATTAACAAGTGCACAAGCAAAAAACGTGGGATGGATTTAGAACTAGCAATGTGTGGGCTAGAACTGCCTTTATACAAGCTAGAACTAGGGTAATAGAAGCTAGAACTAACGTAAAAGTAAGAATTAACAAGTGTGCATGTAAAAAACGAGGGCAGGGTTTAGAACTAGCAAGGTATGGGCTAGAACTGGCTTTATACAAGCTAGAACTAGGGTAAAAGAAGCTAGAACTAATGTAGAAGCAAGAATTAACAAGTGTGCGTTAGTTCTTGCTAAATTTAGAACTAGTAAACAAGCAAAAAATGCACACTTGTTAATTCTTGCTTCTACGTTAGTTCTAGCTTCTATTACCCTACTTCTAGCTTGTATAAACCAGTTCTAGTCCATACCTTTCTAGTTGTAAACCCAGCTTACGTTTTTTACATGCACACTTGTTAATTCTTGCTTCTACGTTAGTTCTAGCTTCTATTACACTAGTTCTAGCTTGTATACAGCCAGTTCTAGCCCACACCTTACTAATTCTAAACTCAGCCCTCGTTTTTTAAATGCACACTTGTTAATTTTTGATTCTACGTTAGTTCTAGCTTCTATTACCCTAGTTCTAGCTTGTATAAAGCCAGTTCTAGCCCACACCTTGCTAGTTCTAAACCCAGCCCGTGTTTTTTACATGCACACTTATTAATTCTTGCTTCTACGTTAGTTTTAGCTTCTATTACCCTAGTTCTAGCTTGTATACAGCCAGTTCTAACCCACATCTTACTAGTTCTAAACTCAGCCCGTGTTTTTTGCTTGCGCACTTGTTAATTTATGCTTCTACTACCCTAGTTCTAGCTTGTATACCGTCAGTTCTAGCCCACATCTTTCTAGTTCTAAACTCAGCCCTCGTTTTTTGCTTGCGCACTTTGTTAATTCATGCTTCTACGTTAGTTCTAGCTTCTATTACCCTAGTTCTAGCTTGTATAAAGCCAGTTCTAGCCCACACTTTGCTAGTTCTAAATCCAGCCCGCGTTTTTTACTTGCGCACTTGTTAATTCATGCTTCTAGGTTAGTTCTAGCTTCTATTACCCTAGTTCTAACTTGTATACAGACAGTTTTAACCTACACCTTGCTAGTTCTAAACCCAGCCCTCGTTTTTTATATGCCCACTTGTTAATTATTGCTTCTACGTTAGTTCTAGGCTCTATTACTCTAGTTC